GTGTTCTGTGTGTAGTGTGTGTACCAGGGTTTGGGGGGCAGGGCAGGGTCATCAGTTGCCGGGCAGACTGGAGACCCTCCAGCAGAGACATCATGGCGTCCAGAACAAACAGCGGACGCATCAGAACCTTCTGGTAACGCCGGTTGTCCTACACACACACACACACACACACACACACACACACACACACACACACACACACACACACACACACACACACACACACACACACACACACACACTTAAATGTATAAATGAATAGTGTTAAGTGTGTGAGTATCAGATGATCAGGAGGTAAACTGACCGCCAGCTGGAGCAGCATCCTGCCGGCTTCACAGTCCCACTGATCAGATGCTGGGTCCAGGAGAGCCGGGTCACACTGCTGCAGCACACTGACACACACACACACACACACACACACACACACACACACACACACACACACACAACATTACATACACATACATGCCCACTGCTCCTAGCACTAGGATGGGTTAGAGCAGAGAACACATGATCAGTGTGACCTTTAGAGAGGGTCTCTTCCTCCAAATGTATCCGACCAAAAGCTAAGAAGAGAATATCCCACCCCTCAGCTAACTGTGATTTAAGAGAAGATCTTTCTGATGTGTGTCATGCATGTAGAGTCAGTGTAAAGCTGGATGTTTATTTACATTCACTTGTAAATAATATATATATAATATAATTGAAAAACTATGCAATATAGGCTTAGATCTGTTTTTTTTAATGACCAGGAAACATGCTAATGTTACATCCAGATAGAAGATGTATCCCAGCCCACAACACCACCATAGACTGTGTATAGTGTACATGCAGTGGAGCCTGTACTGGCTGACTAATTGCGGATGTCTCCCAGATGAACAGTATTATTATCCTAGCTAGCCTAGCTTGTGACACCTCCTGAATAGTGTTGGTATATCTATGGACTTACAAAACACTACGTTTGTATTTGTCCAAGACCTCTCTGTGGTGACAGTGGTTTTGTGTGTAGTGTTTGTGTGGTGTTGTTGTTGTTGTTGTTGTTGTATTGTTGTTATTGTCCTGCTGTGTGTACTGTACCATACACTGTATAACGGTTAGGACCCCTTAAATGTTCATTTATCAACAACAGCCGTTAGCTTCATCTAGCATGCTAACACTGAGCCGTGTTTTAGCTTCTTTAATCACTCACTCTACTTCCTGTTCGACATGAGCTCTGCACCCGGCCGAGGGACCCCTGAACCCCCCGTTATTCAAACAGAAGTGAAAAGAGGAAGAGAGGAAGAGGAGGCTAACTTATAAACAGACTTACCATCGAACCTCCGCCATTTCTGTTTTCAAATATCCGCGGCAACACGAGCGATCTGATTGGCCGCCTGACAGTGACGCTGCAGAACGCTGAGCCAATCAGACTGACATCATAATGAGACAGACCAGAAATAACAAGTTTAAAATAAATACAATGAAAATACAAAACGGTGAATATTTTTGTTATGTTACAGCCATATTTCAAAATGGATTACATTCATTTGTTTTCTCAACATTATTTCACAATACCTCATAATGACAAAGTCAAAAAAAATTGTTTTAATAATTTTTGCAAATGAATTAAAAATATAAAACTCAAATATCGCATGTGCTTAAGTATTCACACCCTTTACTCAGTACGTTGTATAAGCACCTTACATCCTAAGTCTTCTTGAGTATGATGAGCAGACCTATCTTTGTGTAGCTTCTCCCATTCTTCTCTGCAGATCATCTCAGGCTCCATCAGGTTGGATGGGGAGCGTCGGTGCACAGCCATTTTCAGATCTCTCCAGAGATATTCAATCCGGTTCAAGCTCTGGCTGGGCCACTCAAGGACATTCACAGACTTGAGCTGAAGCCACTCCTCTGTTATCGTGGCTGTGTATTTAGGGTCGTTGTCCTGTTGAGAGAGTGAACCTTCGCCCCAGTCTGAGGTCCAGAGCGCTCGTGGAGCAGGTTTCATCAAGGTTCTCTCTGTACATCGCTGC